AGTAGCAGTAGCAGTAGCAGTAGCAGTAGCAGTAGCAGTAGCAGTAGTAGTAGTAGCAGTAGCAGTAGCAGTAGCAGTAGCAGTAGCAGTAGTAGTAGTAGTAGTAGCAGCAGTAGTAGTACAAGGTCAGGTCTTTGGCAAACAAGGCAGCCAGGCAGCCGTTCCAATGAAGTTGGATGCCGAACGAAGAGAGGAGTTCCCAGGTGCACATTCATCGGCCCGTGGATGGGACTGATTAGCATCCCAGGCTGAAGCTCCTGGAGATGGATGTTGAAGATGGAAAGGATATGCATGGGTTTGTCCCATTACCTGTAAGAGTCAGTAATCATTTATCCACATTTATGATAATTATACCCTTGAATCTGAGAAGTAGAGCCCTTGCTAACCATCATCGTCCACTGCTAATACCCACGAAGGATACGTGACGTTCGACTCATGAAAGCCCCACGTTGCTCATCCAGCCCCCCGTTTGACACCACGGGGTTCGTGAGTGAATCCATGATTCAAGAGACCTCAGGTTGATGCCTGGTCTAAACAAAGATAATATCAATTAAGGATGACATAATCAGACAAGAAACACCTCAACAAGCACTCACTCCCTAGGGATCCAGTCGTGCCTTCTCAGAAGGTTGGACTGAGGTGGGTGCCATCATCGAGTCCAGTCATACCTTCTGAGGTTCGGTACGACTGGATTCCTATAGGGATTGTTTAAACTTTCCACGGACGCTTGCGTCACTTTCCCTAAGTCTCCAAGTACCTCCTCAGAAGGTATTTAGACCCTCCAAACCCACCCCAAACATGTTCTCAGAAGGTACTTGGAGGCCGCTTTGTGTCCGTCAACGGACGCCCCAATCCCTTCCAGCCACACGCCACGGACGCCACGGACGCCACGGACGCGTCGTCCACAGGACGCGGGCGACGCCGTGGTCGACCTCTTGGCCTCCCGCTGCGACGCCACGGAGAAGCGCTCGGTGGACGAGGCCAGGAACGGCGGCGGTGAAGGTGGGGAGGAGAGGTCCGGGGGAGGCCGGAGCAGGAGGAAATGATAGAAATGTCTTATAACTATCCCAGACCATCTATGTCATGCAAGAGTTACTGTACTTATATATATATATATACCTTGTGCCACTTGTGCCTCCAAACAGGACAAAAACGTAGGGTTCATCCCAAAACACGAGGTTCTTGGAGGAAACACGAGGTTTCCCATTTTGGTGTTTTTTTCCGCCCATGCCATCTTCGAAGGCCGGGCCACAGGAACTTGAATTCAAACTCCAAAAGCCCAGGTTGATGATCAGAACGAAAAACATCTCAACCAAAAATGCAACTATTGTACCCCCCTAAAGCCCGTGAAAAAAACACGGGTTGTCACGGTATAATCACGGGTTTGTCACGGGTTCGTCACGGGTTTGGGAAACACAATGTTTTTCTGAAAACCCGAGGTTTTTCATCCAAAATCATGGGTTGACACGGGATAATCACGGGTTTGACACGGGTTTGTCACGGGTTATCGGAGCTCTCAATCACGGACCCGAACTTTCCTGACAAGAGTGTTGAATGTTTTATAAACATATTGTGAAACATGTTTTGACCACGGAAAATTTGATAAGTCGGCGGGAGAAAATGAATATGGAGCACCTGCACATGGCTATCGAGGGTTTTGGGGCAAAACACGAGGATTTGGTTAAAAACCCGAGGTTTTCCCTTATGTCACGGCTAAACCCGAGGTTTGTTTTCAAACCCGACAAATTTGTAGGGTTCAGATGCTCAGGGTATATATATATATATTTGGGTTATGAATCGGGTGTATGTATAACTATGCCAGTCCCATGGTTTTAGAATCATCCGAGATATGCCAGGGGACAATATGGGGGAATGGTCCAGCACTCTATCAGCATCTCGTGGTGCCCAATTCTGGGTACTTAAGTTCGTTGTCTTCCCAGGCTGGGCGTTAAGGATTGGCCAATTTTTGGTCACCAGGGTTTTGACCCGTACTGGTACCAGTACTCAAGATGCTTGACCAGTACTGGCACTAGTACCAGTACTATGGTACGGTACTTATGCTTTTTGTTTTTCAGTACTACAGATGGATGCCTCGTGCCTATGCCAGGATGACAATGGTCCCCTGGTCCCAGGCAAGTCTGGTCACTTATAGCAAGACGAAGCCGAAGCGCCGTCGACCGTTTCGAGCATGTTCTAAGCAACATTAAAGTTGCACAGCGCGGAATCCTTTGTTTGATGATTGGACCTTGCACGATGCCTGTACATGACCCAAGGAACATGATGATTGGGCATTGATGACCAGTATGATGACCACCTTCTTTCCTCTTTGCACCAAGGTGGCCATCGACATCACCGGCGCGGCCGAGCATCTGCTGGCCTCGCGCGCCGCGGCCGAGCTCGGCGCCGCCGCGTCGGCGGCGACGCACCTGGCAGACTCGGCGCTGAGCGTCGACGCGGCGAAGGTGACCCGAAGCTCGGCCCGGCAGGGGCATGACAAGCAGCAGAGCAGGTGCGGTGGGGTGGGGCAGTTGAGAGTTGATGCATGTCGCAGGGTGGGAGGGATGCTTTAAGAAGTATACATAGTGAATCTGATTGATTGGGAGAGCTTCGTAAGTTTTTGCTTGCTGAGTGTTGTGATGTGGGCAGGTGTTGCTTGCTGAGTCTATACAAGCTTGTGAACCGGTTGGATCCTGAATCATCTGAGCAACAAGCTTTCGCCAGGGACACCTCCGAGCTTGCTGATGGATGGGAGGAGATGATCTACATGTCAGCTGGGCTGGGCTGTTTAGCAGGCCTCCTTTGGAATTGAATTCCCATTGGCAACTGTTGTCCCTTGATGGAGGAACAAGGGGTGTCAAGCAACATGTTCCCCGAGATCCACTTTTGAGCGGTTTTCCCTTGTTTGAAGCTTTGCAAGGTTGCCTCGCAATCTTCACGCGCAGAAGTTCCAAATGGTGCCCATTTGCTCCCCCTGAGAGCTAGAAAATATGGCAACAAGGAGCGCAACACGGGGTGCATGTGCATCTTTTGTGGGGCTCCAGTATGCTCCAGTCCTTCATCTGAAGGGCCAGGGCGGGCATGCCAGGGGGGTGGTTCCTACCGAGTCGCCGGGTCCAGCGAGTCGCCTGACGATGAAGACCCGGATGAAGTCCAATGACTTGTTTTGTTCACTGAATGAAAGGAATCAAAGGAAGTTCCTCTTCTCTTCAGGGTCCAAAGACATCCCAAGATCATTGAAACCAAAAATGCGGGGACTCTGGAACGCCATCTCGCTGCGCTTGCGCGTGCCGGCGCGCGCCCTGACGGTGGAGGAGGTCTTGCGACGAGCTGCCTCCGATCCTGTGGCCTGGCGCCTCATCGCCGGCGCGGTGGTGGTGAAGGAGCTCCGGCAGCAGGTGCACGGTGAAAGGGCCCACGAAAGAGTGAGGAATGGCTGGGCCATGCCGGGCCTAGCTACCAGCACCCGACTTCACAGGTGCTTCCTGGTGACAACAGGTGCCCAGAAACCACCTGTTAGGGTCTCCAAACAGCCTGTTGGAGGGTCCTGGTAGTGATGACTATAGGGAGGATCCGAAGAAGAGCCCAACAGATGTAGCAGGGGCCAAGCTGGCCGGACAAATGCAAGCATCACGAATAGTGGTTGGGAGATCAGTTGGCCGGAAATCATCTCAGCTACAAGATACTCAACTTTGTTTAAGCAGAAGTCAAGTACCCAGAAACTCCAAACACCCCTTGGTCCCTCAAAACCTCGGGATTGGTGAGAAACCCCAGACCCCTGACCAGTTCGGATTCGGGTCCGACCCCTCCAAAGGATGGGTCATTGGTTCGACCCCAGACCCCTCCAGAGGATTCGGGTCCGACCCCTCCATATGAGAGTCCAGGGTTGCGTTTCAGATCCTCAAGCTTTTGCTGTCACGTCCGGACAGGTGGAGTCCACCTTGGGCTTCACATGCTCTGGAGGCGTAGCAACGAACAAGGTCCTGGCGAAGCAAGAGGACTCGGCGGGAAAGGACGGGACGTGCCGAGAAAGGCAGGATGGATGAGTGGTTCCCATATAATGATGGACGAGGATGGATGGATGGGTATATAGTTTGGTGTTGCAGTGACCTTCCAACTGATTTAAAGACTCCTTCTGGCCCTTCGTAGTGTCTCAAAATAGGGGTGTTCCCCACGACCCCAAACAACGGGAAGATCCATGAGTTCACAGACTTTCACACCGTGATTTGAGAGTCCAACAAAGAGACAGAGCATGGTAGGTGCTGTCGGTTGTTCTCAAGGACTTGAGGATCTGCAGAGCCTCAAACTCTTCGTGGGCTGGTTTCTAGAGGAAGTGGACCTTGGCGAGCCGACAGTCGAACTCCCTGAAAAAAAGAAAACACAGTATGTTTACGGCAACTCTTCCAGGCAAAAATCCATGTTCAATGAATCTGCTTGTAAGTACTTATTGCAGCACTCTTGACAACTCCCTGCCACTGTTTTCTCCCACATCCAGAAGTCCTGAGTCTGCCACCTTCAAATTACTAGACCCCCAACAAAACCACCCCAACCACCCGGTCAGGAGGTAGTTGAAGCCCAAATGTGACATATTGGTGTTTGGGGACCGCAAGCCGCCTTTTTCATCCCCATTTGGCACCAACCCAGGCTGGGCTGTGGACTGCACAAACCCAACCAACAGGCGCGGGATGCGTTGCTGGGTCGCTGGCAAGACCTGAAGGCGAGAGAGACACAGAGATATATATATAGAGAGAGAGAGAGCGCCCCATGTGGCGTACGCCAGTTGACATGCCATATAGAATTTAGATGAATTTAGCTATTATTTTTGACCTCTGCTCTAGAGATGCGCGATCTCTGGCAGGCCGAAGATCTGAGTTTGCTCGGAAGATACATCGCGGGGCGCGCTACGTCCGCCCAGTCGAAACTCCTGCGTCGGCTGCGGTGCAGCGATGCCTCCTGCGGAGGAGCTCAGGATGATGTGGGAGAAAAGGGTTCAGCTGCTTTCTTGTCTCGAGACTGCGGCCAAGACGGAGCGCTACACTGAATTTCCTCATAGCAGCAGTGGCATCACAACCGGAACTGCAAGCGGCATATGTCGGAACCATTCAAGCCGCTGAGAGAACCGAGCTACTTTGACCAAGAGTCTAGGCAGTGGGTCAAGAGAGACCATTGGGCTGCACTGACACAGAGCTATGGAGCAGCCGCACGGACCAAGAGTCTAGGCAGCAGCCCCAGAGGCAGACCAGCCCAGACCATTCATGCCGCCCAAGTGTGTTGGGCAGCACATTTGTGCATGTCCCTCAGCTGCGGGGTACGTTGCAGGACTCGAGTCTGTAGAGGCGGTGGTGTTCGAATGGTACTTCGGAATGCGGGGCTGTCTCATACCGGCCCTTATATATATATATATATATATGATCAGGGCTCGGTCGGAAACGCACAGAATCATTGAAATGGCACAAGCGCCCAACTGCCAAGTCCCTATTGAGGAAGTACTACAACAGTTCAAGGACCGCTGTGTCACTTCCTTTCGCCCCTGGGGCGCACGCGGAAAACAACAAACATTGCAGTCAAAGCACACAGTATGCAACTGACTCCACCAGTCCCCTTTGCGGTTTGTTGGATAGTCAGACAGAATAGCATGGTCAGAATCGCAGATGCACTTTGCTATGGATTTGATCCACTCAATGGTCAAAGGCACTGTTTAAAAAGAGGCTAGAGGTGGGATCGGAGCAATGGATTCGCTATGATTAGATTTTTGGAAGGAAAAACATGAAACAACAAGCTGACGTGAATCGCAGTTGGGAACGGGTGTGAGAATTCCAATATACAAGTATTTACTATAAATTCCGGGACACAGCAGCCCACAGCGCAGTGAGAAGTGAACGCAACATTGAATCACAAACGATGCGGGAGGCTCACACACTGACCAACATGGACGACATTATCAATTGTGCAGAATTGCCTCAGACTATGGACACGAGCCATTCAGCGCATCTGAAGAAAGTGCCAGAGAGACCCCATTGGCCAGCTATTTGGTCCAATAGTGAGGAGAAGAGATATACATCGAGGTTCATTGAGGATTGATTAGGAGGTCTCACAGTTTTGCCACAGGTTGACATGCCAAGGTTGGCATGAGAGCTGAGTGAAACTTGGAGAATTCCCAGGGGCCCTTCATTCGTGACCATGTAAAGGCTCAAAACAATGACCTGCATCAGAAGTTCTGCTTGGTGACACATATTGTTGTCGTCGTGATTCTTCTTCTTCTTCTTGTCGTTGTTTCTCTATTGCAAGCCCGCACCACGAGCCACTAGTTTGACCTGTGTACTCTCCAAACAGTGAACGCAGCGAAATGACTTGGGGTTCCCTCGAGTGTGGATTTTGCTACATTACGATCAGTATGGGAACTGTCGCACTGTAGCACCAGTTCAATTTTGGCAAGCCACCCAGAGGGACACTTCAGCAAACTATGGGGCGCTTTACCACAAAAAAAATGAAATTGAAGTTCCCTGCGAGGCAGGCTTATCGCCTAGTTCTTGGACTTATCCAAAAATGTGTTGTGCACCTCAAGACTGTTGACATACGATTGAACTTCTGGTTGTTTCTGTGGTGCTTAATGACAGTTGTCCTAACCCAGACACGGCTAATTGGACTGCCATATATGCCTATATTGGGGTGTTTTTTGGGGTCAATTGATCGGCATATATGGCAGTCCCATTAGTCGCGTCTGGGTAATGGAAGCTGAGTGCATTCCACGCACGTCTGGGCCCCTGGGCTATGGAAAAAGTACTGGAGAAACGTGCGGATGCCACTGCCACCTGCCACTGCGCGTGCCAGACCCTTTTGCTGCCACATGCCGCCCCCGTGTTGTTGAAGGTGCGGACGAGCGGGCGGGGACTGCCAGGGCTGCGGGACTGTGGGTTCCAAAGCGTGACCAAAACCTTTGCGGGGACAGATTTGTCGTTGTCACTTGCTTTTGTTCAAAGGGGCTTGGACCAGGCAGAGGGCTTGATGTCGTGCATGTGTCGTGCAGGGCGGTTGGGAGCGATTGATCCATTTGAGACCTCCATTGGGCTGGTCACCGCCATGCTCCGCATCAATCGCAGGATCTGCCGCTGGATCGCCTTCCTGGTCTGGGCGGTGACTTTGGTCAAGCCGTCAAAAGCCGCCACTTTGCAGACTTTGCAGCTTGCTGGGTGGTCGGGTTGGGCAGCGGCAGCTTGGTGGGAAGGAACCACAGATATGAAAGGTTCCTAGAATCTGTTGAAACATGTTGAAACCTCATGTTGTCTTCTCATGTTGATCTCATGTTGTGTCCTAAAGACTCCATGGGACTGGAAGATATGCCGCCTGAGAAAGACCCCTGATGGCCACTGATCCGTTGCCAGTGCTATTGGTGGTATAGCCTTGGTGAAGTTTGCTCCAGCCTTCCATGTTCAACAGCGAGTACTTCTGCAAGAACGGAGACCTCTCCAAAGCTGTTGAGTCCGCAGGTCAGACACTGGCGGTTTCACCGTTCTAGCCCCTATCACCTTGATTTGAAGCCTTGAGTGGGGTGGAAACCAGCGAGCCAAGCCAAGCCCGTCAAGGGCGAACGAGGCGAGCCAAGCACTCCAAGTCTTTCCAACCAGTTCCCAACGCTTTCAATATGGCCTACAGCAAAATAAAAGTGTGTCAGAACAAATAGGAAGACCTCTCAGCTGGACCTGGAAGACAAAACATCTAGTCTGACTACCCAAACCGGGCCAATCCGGTTGCGGGTCCCCCTATATCAAAACTACAGACCCATATGGCCGTATACAGCTTGTCACATCGCGTCCTGAGACGAGTCGCCTGGGAAAATCGACCCGACCCTTCGCTGAGGGAGACAACGGATGCACAGCAGGGCGAGCGGTCCTAGCGGTCCCAACGGTTGGCTTCCGTCAAAGTCTTCGGGACACCCGACTCAACATGACTCAACAAGAAGAAGCGGACAGATCGATTGTTTATGTGTATTTTTACTGAGGGGTCAGTCTATGCTGATATGCTCCTCGATATTTTTAGGAGCCATACGTACCAAAGAGTCTTGGCTTTTAAAGTGGAGAATGATCTAGATCCATCTGTGGGTTTGCCAAGAGGATTGGATTGAGTACCTTTACATTTCATCCAGGAGTTCTATGGTGGATCGTTAAGTGTAGACGTTTGATTAGTAACAGCACCCGGTTGGATTTTGAAACCTCTTCATGGCATATGAGAGGGTTGAAGTATCATCAAGAGAGTTCCAAACGACCCAAACGAGCTGGCTGACTGACCCTTGTCCCAGGTTTCGGCGTCCAATCGGCGGGCGAGCTCTTACAGGTACGGACACTGATGTGAGACGGGTTTCCATGATTTGGAGGGGATATGACGAACTGACAGGCCTTCAACGACGTCTCCAACTACCTCCAAGGTGTTTTTTGGTGGATCCTATAAGTGGAGGGTTTGTCTCTACCTCCTGAGCACTTCTGACGATGTGGTTGAGGCCCTACTAGTAGGGTTTAGAAGAGTGAATCTTTTGACAATCGTCCTGAGAGAACATGGCGCCGTACATCCTGAGACAGGTTGTCCAGTGAGGGACCCCCCAAATTCATTTGAGCACATATTGTTGTCATATACAGTATTGATTATAGCTAGGATTCAAATCTGGCGTTGCTGGCAGGATTTGGGAAAATATTCTCAAGTCTTTGATGCAGGCAGAGATTGATCCCCAATCAACCCGTTATGGCCAACGCCCACACTAACCAGGGTGGATTCCAGGGTGGTCCTGGAGGTGGAGGGGCCAGGGGTAGTCTACAAGTGGATTACCTTTGGTGGACCCGTTCTTTTGCAACCAAAAGTTCTGCAAACCTTCTCAGGTGACCAATGTTTAGAGATGCTGGATGGGGCGGTTTGTCCGGTTTGTCCCTGGCTTCTCAGTACGTGCCTCACCTTGGGGGTTGGCAGCAGCCAGCGTCACCTCCGCGCCAGGTGCCGCGGCCAGACGTGCTGAAGCAGTTTCCTCAGCGAGGCAGGGCCAATCCGAAGAAGGATCTCAGAGTAGACGATGCAGAGTAGAAGGCCCAGGACCAGTGATCGATAAGAAGGATGAACACTCCAGAGTAGGATCGAAGGCCACTCTCCCAGGACGGACGAAGGCGGATCCCTGGACTTCGAAGGTACCCAGGTTCCGATCCGAAGGTCCCATTTGGGGGGGGGGCCCGAAGGCACCTGAAGGCACCGAGGAGTTGTTGTTGTTTTTTGCGTTTTGTGTGTGAACGACTGTACGGTGACCAAGAGAAAAAAGCAGGATGAAGGTCTTGACCGAGTACTGGACAGGTTCTTCAAGAGGATCCTTTAGTGGACAGAGAATAGCTTCACTGTACTGCACATCATCAGGCTTGCATGGGCACTTCGGTGTGCAGGAGGGATTCAGACTACAGACACGGGGAAGCCTTGTCACTGTTCATTGCCACGTTGCTCGTTGCTGGACTCCACCAGATTTCTGTTGGCTTGAGATCACTCACAGACGCGCGACGGAAGATTTCCTGGGTACTCAGAACACTCGGAGAAGAGAGAGATACTTGGGAAACCATTGGATACCTGTCTGGACACCTATCTTCCACTGTACACCAGGGGATTACCGCCAGATCACTCCTATACCAGATCATGATGGATGGAATCTGGAGTTCAAACTAGCTCAACTCTGACTTGTGCCATTCGGACTTGTTGGTGCCTTCTCCCATCGCCCCCATCCAATCCCATCGCTCCACACCGCCGACATCCCGCTGGCCGAGGCGAGTGGCTGTTGGCGCTGGCGGCGGGCGATGACTCGGCGGCGGAGGCGGTGAAGGCGCCAGCGGGTGAGGCCTGAGGCGGTAGAGTCTCCAGAGGGAAAGTGTCTCTCTCCACTATCTTTTCATGAATAAAATTAATTAATGATGGATGAAGAGACAAGGAAAGCAACAACACCAATAAAAATAATTCCCAAGGATCAAATACTTCAGAGATGAGGATGGCGTTCAAAGCGACAAAGCGACCCTGTTCAGCCTGGATGGCTATCTGGACGGCTCTCCCAAACACCACCAAAACAGGGGTTTGGGAACTACCCGTAACAATAGAGAGCCGTAAGGGTGGAGGGTGGAAAGGCGACGCTACTTGGCTCTCAAGAGATTTTGTCGTGTCGCGTAAACGAGGATATGTCATCTTTGGTCTCTAGAGCTCTTGGCCCAGCTTGACCCTGGCTTTGCTGGATCATCCATCTTGGATATCTCTTGGCACAGCCATCGACCCTTTTTGTGCTAGAGGAACCCCGTTTTGGCACTACAAGCCGGCTTTGGACTCTACAAGCCAGCTGCACCAGCCGTGCTACAAGAGGGTTGATGGATGATCCAATTGGGACGGTTCCATGAGCCGTCCATGGCGGTGCATGGTGAGCCGCGGTCGACGGCTGGAAATGGTGATGAGATCGGAGGAGAACCTCAACCAGGAGGACCTGAATGTGTTGAGGACCTCAACAAGTCCTCAACACATTCAGGTCCTTCACCTGAAGTTGTGAATTTGAAGGGATCTTAACAAAAAGAAAAGATTCCGCCTGACAGAACCAGCAGGAAATTAAGATCGAAATGCAGCCAACCAGCATCAGCCAGCACCTGCATTTTTCAGTCAAAGCCTCCAGAAGAGACACTCTTGGAGGTTGCTGGTACAGGTTTGTTTGCAAGATGACTCTCTCCAACCTCTACATGTGATAGAATGGTCAGGGACCAAAGTCTGTGTCCAAAGCATAGGTGTCCTGGAAGACAAGTGTGCCTGCAATCCGTTTGAACATGTGTGCAATCGGTCGAGACTCGAATCTCCGTTTGAACTGGTGCAGTTTTTTTGTGCAAACCAGTATATAGGAGAAAACCATGTCACTCAATCAATATGTCACTCAGTGTATGCTTTCCATCTCAGGTTGTGTTGACAATGTCGTCACAATCAACCCTAGATGCCCTAGATTCCTAGATTCTGTGTTTATGCTCATGCGCAACAACCTCAAAGACAATATCAATCGCCCCTCAACACTGTTACGTCACTAATTGTTCAATCCATCTTCACAGTGGATGAAGTTTTATGATTGAGTTTATATTGGCTGTGTGGGTGCTTGACGCTTCACCGTCCAAGTTGAAATCCAACTGCCTCGCCAGGACAGGCAACTGGTGAAGAGCCTCTCCAATGGCAAGACCTTCTTCGGCGAGAAGCGGCTGAGATCATTGGAAGAGGCCCACCATGACATCCATGGCAGCAGGTCCTACGTACAAAAATGATGTACATGAAAAAAAACATAGCTGATCTAGACCACATATTTGCAATCTGACCCCACTGCAATCTGAGCGCCAGTGAACATGAGAACACCATCAGCTCCGCTCACGTCAACTCAAGAGACACCACCTCGTGCAGATGGGGAGAAGGAGGTTCCAACATCGTCTTAGTTCTCAGCATTTGGTCCCCAGCAAAGCTGAACAAAACAAAGAAACCGAGTTAAAAACCACCTCAGACTTCCAATCCACTGTCCCAAATAGCTAAAGCCATTTGACCTGAGCACTGGTCAGGTGGACTATTGGCTGGGCGAACTCACCGGCGAGCTCCATCGCCGCTACCTTCAGCAGGCGCTCCCCGGACCGGCCCGATCGAGGTCGACACAGCGGCGACGAGGAGAGAGTGGGAGGAAGAGCGACCAAGTGACATGCCCAGTTACACTGACGCCAAGTGGAACAAGCAATTGAAACAAACATGATGGTATTTAGTTGCTTGGAAGCAAGTGAAGAGTGTTTCTTGGAGATCTTGAGAGTTGTGGAGAACAAATATGATAGATCATTTGTGGAGCGGACTGAGCGGTGAAGCACAGGACTGAGCGGTGAAGCACCTGTTGCGTTGTTCATGGTCGGGCGCAGGTGGAGAAGCACCAGCGGACGCCCAGTACCTTGCAGGTCTCATTGACCTTGGACCAGAAGGAGATGAAACATGATGAATCATATGGGTTGATCCGCAGGAGGGGTTTGTGTGGGTGTGTGTAGAGCATAGGCATCAAAACCATCTCAATTGGCTCAACTGCAGAGTACGACGTCCTCCCAAAAAGCCGCAGAGTACGGGTGCTCGTTGGTCGGGTCCGAAAGACCTATCCGGGATAGGTGGACCGTTGGATCCCAAGTCTTTCCGAGCCACTCTTGAGAGCTAAGCTGATGGTATGAGAGCTAAGCTACATGCCGGTTGCAGGCTTCAGGCACATGTGCCATTCCCAGAGTAGCGAGTCAATGGGCGATAGTACAGACCAAGCGAGGCGTTGGTTTCGGCCGACGGCATCTTCACTCCTAGGAGCATTTGACGCGCCAGCAGCCCATCCAGCTGGGCAGCCAAGGGACACCGGAGCAAATCCTACAGACCGCCAAGGCCACAAGCTCCGCCCTCCGCGGGGCGGGCGGCCACCTCTCGCAGGGATGTGGGGTGGGTCTGTTGAAAGATGGGTCCGATACCTGGATCCAGGAGAATCATGAAAACCGACCCTAAGCTGGTAACCGTTGGTCACCAGTGGTTACAAAGACAGAAGAGCTAGACCGCATATATAAGTTCGAGGAATTTTGTGAAGATGGGTGTATAGGCTTGGACTTGCTGAGAGCTTGAAAGCAGAACTATTTGGGCAACAACACATGCTCCTTTCTTGCCGTGACTCGATGAGGATATATTTGTTTAGCACTGTGTCAGTTGATTTCATATAGACTTCAGAATGTATATTAATTCCATTATATTCCTACTAATTAGAGGTCACACTTTCAGGTTGTTGATGAGCAGCTTTCCATAACATCCAAAGAGGAGTTCAAGAATCATGCTTCACACGGCGATAGTCACTGCAATCACTGTAGTCTTGCAATCAACGAATCAAGAGAACGGTAGCAAGCCTATGTGGTCGCTGCTCGAGAAACATCACAAAATTATCGGAAGCAGGAGGGACAGTAGGTTAGGTATATAAGTAATATGAGTGGTTTCAAACACAGAAAAACCCTTCTAAGACCACAACAAAGGTCTTCATGGGGCTACTCCCTCCCTCCACCCACCGTGGTGAGCCCGTTTAGCCTCGTCGCCAGGCCTGCGCGCGCCGCGCGGGGGCGGTGAGTGGTGTGATCTCGCTGGGGCTTAGCTTGAGCAACATGATCCCTTTGGAGGCGCGGTGGGGCAACCCGCGGATCGGATCGCGTTGTTGTTTTCGGTGAAAGGTTGGTGGAGCGGTGGAGCAGTCGCGGTGAAAGAGGAATCAGGAAGTTTGGATGAAGGTTGGTGAGTGTCGGAGGAACCTGGTTTGGATACATAATAATTATAGGTGTTGAAATGGCTTTGGATGCCCTGGGATAATCTCTAATTACTAAATTCCATGTAAAAACCGGGTTTAAGCAAACAAAGCACAACATGTCATTGGCAACTTTCCAACCCCCCAAAGGCACCGAGCTGGAGGCATGCGGGAATGAGACCTCCACCCACAGAAAAGTGGATCAAATGACATAACCCTTTTGGGGGATTCCCGTGGATTCCCCACTAAAACAAAAAACAAACAAGTATAAACAAGTGGAAAAAAGGTTACACTCTGACTCACTAACATGGAAGTGGATGGCATGGTCCCTTGGAAGACTACTTTCCTTTACGAACAGGGGGTTTTCCACTTCCATGTTAGTGAGTCGGAGTGTAGCCATGGTTAGCCTACGGGTTAGCCTTTATGTTTATGTGACCCCCAAATAGAGTAGCATTTGTTTGTCTAATTACTATGAAGGAGTTGAAGTAAACATGGAACTGTTTTTTGACGTTGCGTGGCCCCACTGCCTACAATCTGTGCACCCAGAAAGAAGCACTCAAATTTTGGTCTTCCGCAGCAGCTGAACCAGACAGGGAGATAAAAACAGACGCAATCTTTGAGAAGAGCAAGCAGCAGATAGCAGCACAGCAACAAGAGAATTGCTGGGGTCCTCTCCAGTGTGTCCAGTTGATGGGAATTCACGACGATGGCTTCATGATCAGGATCTCCACTAATACATCCCTCCTTGCGGCGGGACAGACTCTCCGTGCCACCCAATAAACCTCGATCAAGACATAGTTGGAGCCTTAAAGATACAATAAACATCGATAAACCATGTTTTATCATACCCAGATACTCCATGTCTGTCATATATACATGGACCCCTCAAACCACCCCCAATGTAGGTAAATCTACCAGTCCCATTAGTCGTGTCTGGAATATATATTCTTCCGATGTTTCAACACCTCTAAAAGTAAACACATCTGATCAACTGATCAACTCCGCCGCTGCCGAGACCCGGGTCCACTGGACACAGACCCGGTACTCCTCGCGGGTTACGGCCTCCTGCCGGTGTTCGCTCGGCAGGCCTCGAGCGCGTCCCTGTCCAAGTTCTTTGGCCGCAAGAGCGAAGGTGCGGATGCAGAAGTTGGGCAGTGGTGAAGTGGTGAAGGGCATTTGGAGGACTTAAAGATCTGAAGATCCAGCTGGCTGTGACGTGTTTGGAGTCCCTATCATCCTGATCGTCACCTGGGACCAGGCCTAACTTATCCCAATGAAGTGACCCAAAAAGGGACCTCAAACGGGGAGATCAAGTTTGGTCACATAATGAACCAGTGATCGAAATCTCTGTGATGTGATTCCGTTTGACATGCTAAGACTTCGATGTGACTTCTGTACTGCATGCTCTAGAGGAAGTCCCAGCGGCATCCCCTAGGGATCCACTGCAGGTGCAGTGATGTGTTCGACACTGAGACATGAGACGGTGCCTGGGCCCGGGTCCAGTCGTAGGATGGCTTTTGGGATCAAAGATGAATTCCCAGGTTTTGCCTTGTCACCAGTCCGAATGTGGCGCCACAATTCATCAGGATTGGTCACCTACAAACATTCACTCATGCCGCTGCCTGTGGGCAAAGCTGCGCGGTGGCGAAAGGTGATGCAACTGCTGGACATGTTCCAACAAGATGTGCCCACTAAGTCCCGGATGTCGTCACGTTTCCTCCCACAAGAGTCACTCTCCGAGTCCGCCAAACACCGCTCGTCGGTTGGCCAGGAGCAGCAAGCAAAGAGAAAGGCGAAAAGCCCCAAGAAAAGGCGAAGGCGAAGCCCAAAGAGGCAGTCGATGGCGGCTTTCAGACGAAACGGAACGAAGATGTGTGAGCATGGGGATATCCTTAGCATGTGTGATATCCTCCTCTTGTTTTATGGTCAACGGCGCTGTTCATTCGAAGGCTCAAGATAGCTGAGGAGGACGTTCACACACTCCGATCGTTCTGGGCCAGATCGTTCTGGGCCAGATGGCTGTGGAACACCGTCCGGATAGATGGTCCTTGTTCTGGCTGTTTTCTCTTACCCTAGGGCCCTAGGGATCGAAGTACCTTCTCAGGTACGGTGATTGCAGGCACTGTTATGTAGGTGCCAGGAGGGTCCAGTCGTACCTTCTGAGAAGGTACGACTGGATCCCTAGGGTTAGTTGTTCACCAGCTCCGACAGGACCAGAGGTTTTTAGTGCCAGCGACAATACATATTAGGAATATTTAGGAATACTTCCACACCCGGAAAGAATCGCGGAGTTGCTTGTTGGCCAGCTGTGCCGTCGCAGGCGAACCTTTTGGGTGCTTGCTTTGCTCGAGCAGCGGTTTGGGTGCCCGATCTGCGCACAAATCGCTCCAAAGGTGGAGTTCCTCCCATGTCATCCCACTCAGAATTGCCTTTGCCGGGACCTGCCTTGAGGTAAAGGGTCAGACCTGAGATGTAGGTGGGCGAGTCTGGAGGGTCTGGATTCGTACGAGGTAGGGTGGATTTCAGGGAATCCTTGTTCCATCTTGTTCCCAAAGGATGGGGGGTTCTCTGGGAAGCTTACGCGTTCCTGGAGTCTCAAAGTACCTCGCAAAATGGGTACAAGTACCTGTTTCTTTGGCGTCATGTTCCATTTCCTGAGGTACTTGAAGTCGGGTCCAGGTTTGTACTGGGTCATCAAGGCATCAGTCTTTGGGCAATACGAATTGATGTTCCGCCGTTAAGAGGGGCTCTGGATGGGAGTCCCGGCTTCCGTGACGAAAAATTGACGACGATGCCCTGCCAGGTACGACGGACTTGGTTTTCGTTTTGATGTACTTCGTTATCCCTACACCTCCAAGTACCTCTGAAGGTATCTAGACCCTCCAAAGCCCACCCCAAACACCTTCTCAGAAGGTACTTGGAGGCCTAGGGTATTTGATGTCCCTTTCCCTTTGTTTTTGGCACGGAGGCACCATGGCTTGTGAGGATCTGTTGGTTCATAGACTCAACCAACGGCCTGGTCTGGAAAGCGTCCTGGCCATCTTTGAAAAGGGAACGGCCTCGGTCCACCTCGTAATGTTTGGGTGCTGTGGTCTGTGAAAAAGACAAAGCCAACCCACCTAACCTGACATTTCAGTCCTCGTCAGAATACACAATTTACTCCTAACTATTGTTTTGATAATTTTTATATGTTGTTTTGCACGTCCAAAAAATATCAGCAGAATTCCAAGCAGTTTGCACCCATCCGGCTATACATTACGCCTCATGTTGCCTCATCATTGGGTGTACAATTGGGAAGCGCTGCAAAACATAGTTATGTTTGCGCAAATGACTGGAAGATTCAACCATTAGTCATGAAATTGCCTTCACCTTATTCCCAGTGGCGTGCAAACACACACTATGAGACGACAACCAATGCATCCTTCCGGGGAACCGTCCCGACCGTCAGTCATTGTTTACACGGTGGTGCTGAATTCTTCTGCAAGCTTCGAAGGGAGACCCACTTAGTGGATCAAAGCATGTACCAAGAGTTGTACCAAGACCAAAAAGCTGGAGTTCCATGTGCCGCACGGATTCGGGATTTGGGGGTGCCCCCATTCTCCAATCACTTGGGGTCCAAAAGAGAGGGAAGACCTGGATCTGACCGACCTATAGGGCACCTGGACCGACCTATAGGGCACCTGGACCGACCTATGGGGCACCTGGAGCGGCCGCACTTCACGAAAGGTAGCCTGGTAAGGACTACCTTGAGTTTGCTTTGCGAAGCAAAGGGACTGGCTTGAGAGCTTGCTCGGGACTAAAGATTGGTAGATCAATGTCTAACACCCCCACCCCCCCCCTCCCCTCGTCGCCAGCACTACTAGCATTCTGGACATAAGGTGAAGTCATGCGCTTGGCAGTCACAGCAGTACGACGCTGGCCATGAGGTTGCGCAATACAGCACGAACCCTGCGCAATGAGGTCGCGCAATGCGGCTTCGATGCCGCGCGTGCGCACCCGGCAGCCTGACACAGCGCGTGCTGCGTTCACAGACCATATTGCTCGACACCAACGAGCATCGATGCAACACAGCCTCTCTGCAAAGCCCCGTGGAGAAACCCCCCGCGTCGCGGAACACCATTCGACTCAGCCTTATACCCTAGCGTGGCGAAATCTTACCGCATCGTGGAGCACACCCACCATAGCGTGAGGTCCATCCCTGGGAGTACCGGCCGCGCCCCTCGAGCACTATCCTTACAAGGGGGTTAACTCACTGAGTCACTGCGGCTTCGACGCAACGCGTGCAGGCCTGTAATCCTGACACAGTGCGTGCAGCTGTGGGACCATAGCTGGTACACATGCGAGCGTTTACGCATTGCGACTTTTACGCGCGCCTGTTTTCACACACCTATACACAAACGAGCGTCGACGCAACGCAGCCTCTCTGCAGAGCCGTGTGGCGCAATCTGACCGCAACGGTGTTCCTCTTGAGCCTTCTTGTGCTCTCTGGCTTTGTTGGTTTGATCGATGATTGACCAAGGGGCACGTTCCTGAAACACCGGAGACAGTCCCTCACCAGAAAAGGTCCGGACAGCTACCCGGTCCGTCTCTACCTTTCTTTTTTCCCCGCTCAAGTGAGAGCAAGGAAGGTTTGGAGAATAGCCTACGCCGACCCATGCCGACCCTATAGATTCTGTGCAAAGCCACCAGGTTTTACAGGGTTTTTAGACCTGCAGGGAGGGATCAATTGTTCGGAATTGCCTCAGTGAGGGGAACAACAAACACATTCCTGGTTCTTCCAAGTGACCTTTTCATCCCCGGCTTGAGGTCACTTCTATAGGCCTATTTGACAAGGTCACGAACTGTCAACAGCAGTCTGCAAGACGTCTGAGCAACAGATGGTCCTGGACCACATACCCTTTGAGGTACGGTGATGTGTTCGACACTGTTAGGTGCCCTGGTCGGGTCCAGTCGTACCTTCTGAGGTTCGGTACGACTCGATCCCTATGGATCTGGAGTTGGATTATCTTGGATCCCTATCCCAAACACTCCATGGGACTGCCATATATGACATTGACCCCTGAAACCACCCCAACTGATCGGCATGTATGGCAGTCCCATGGGTCGTGTCTGGGTCTTGGATCCCTATGGATTCATCGTTCTGTCGGTTCAACGTTTCGGGAGCCTAGGCTGCCCAGCGAGCGAGTTCCGACCAGCAAAAGGTGGGGAGGGTGACCGGACGACGCGGAGAGGATGCAGACCGGACGCGGACGCTTTTGGAGGCGGTATGCCATTGAAAGACCTCGGAAGGGGTTTTGGAGAAAGTATTTGTTTTTACAGTAATTGGTTCTAGGCCTAGGTGTTCTCAAGAAAAGAAGTCAGGGTCGTTTTGGGATGTTTTTGGCACTCTCCCGACTCCACACGGCACCCTTTCTGGAGGCGCTAGGAACGGACCAGCTAGGAGTAGTAGATTGCCTTGCAGAACTTGGAACTTTTGAGGCTCCAGAAGTGGACGAGGGTGTTTTGGCGGAGCTCCCGCTGAACATCCAGCAGGACAGTTTTCGTCGCCTTCGTCGCCGACAGTGATCCGCCACCATTTCCAGACTCAAAGGGTTAGGGGATTGTTTCAATCGTTTAAAACATGCTCGAGATACATGAGATACAACATTTTCCAGGGTGTGCATCTGCAGCGGCAGATTTGTCACATTTTGTCACCAAGTGTTGTTTTTGCCCAGGAGATTCTGAGAGAGCTGGGCCAGGAGCGGGAGCAAGCGGATCGTGAAGCACAATCATGCACATCAACCATTTAGCATCAACCTACATCATCGGAAGGTATTTGGATCCCTATGGTCCCCATGAAGTTTGCAGCGTGAATGGCTGTCCTGCTCTCTTCTGGATTTCAGGTGGACACCGATATATTTCCAGGTGAATGTTGAATCCTTTCTTGAGGCCAGGCTGTTGCTTTGGTCCGGCCAGGAGCCCAAGTTGAAGAAGCTCCGTTGTGATGTCGTGGAGATTGATGCGTGATGCGGTCGGCCGCGGTCACAGGTGTGTTTTCGCGTGTAGGCGCGCGTAGGCACGTGCACACGGGGGTATCCCGTAGCTATGGCATGGGATCGCTTATAGCCTTTCACCTCTTTGAGGATCGCGCCGTGCGACCAAAAGAAGCGAGGAAGGCACCTGGTTTTGGGCGCCTGGCTTTTAGGGCATGCAGCATGTGATTGATGAATGTGGTGATTCCCAAAGTAAGCTTTCTTTAGTGCATATTATACTTCTGATTCTATGGTTTGTTGCTCCCGGGCCAACTCAAAGGTCCAACAGTCAGGTCGGGACACTCGGTTCGGGCCACTTGGGTGGGGTCGGTCGGGACTTGGAGGTCTCATTCCGCGCCAGGGACGTTCAAGTCCTTTCGTGGTCTTCATGCTGTTCAGATTTGTTCAGTATAGATCAGGCATGATTGGTCGGCAATCCTCCAGCCAAAGGCCTCAGGGACGTTATATTCTATATTAAGAATTATTAAGATATTATAAGTGAACTTGAAATCTACTGCTTGACCATCTTGAACTTCATTGATGAACTATCCATTTCTATCCCATCTTCTCTCTCCATCTTCGCTGCTGATGGCCGTCCACCCCGGTGGTCTACGCTCTTCACCGGAAAACGACGAATTCCTCGGAAAGTCCACGAAGCCGACGCCGACGGTTCAATCCACTTCGTCTCTCCCCAGGGCAGCGATCTAACTGGGAGCGTCCAAAGAGAGATGACAAGAACGTCACGAATTCTCAGAGTCAATGGAAGTCAGTTCGGTTCATTTCCATGGGAGGATATATCAATGCAGGAGACCATTCAACTTGCGAAAGAGATGCCTTTGCAGCATGAAAAGGCAAGGTTGGCCGCTCCGCCATTGGCTTAAACATCCTTGAAGATACTTTGGTGGTGTTGCAGCTGCAGGCTGCAGGGGCCCAAAAGGTACAGTAGTCATTGCAGGTCTAGGCCGGGCCATGTAGACAGGCAGAATGTCATGGTGCCTATATATAGTGACCGACTCCGGATCCATGCAAAATGTAAACCCGCCTTTCAAACGCAGCAACCCAACTCTGCAGAATCTGGAGTGGCGTTGGAACCAGCAACCGAACTCTGCTCAAGCACAACGATGCCCTCGGTCTGGGCCCTCCTTTTCCGCCGATGTGGGTTGTCCATCGCGGAGCTTTGCTCTCCAAAACCTTCCCAACCCGCAAACCCAGCCAGCCGACCTCCAAACGCGAGTGGTGCGATGGTTCTCCCCAGCCGTGCCAACCGAAGCCCGGACGGAAAGCGTGGAAGAACGCGGTGCCATGGATGCAACTGCAACTGAGCTGGACTTTGAGGCATTTGAAGAGATCAGCTATGCCACTTGGCATGTCCTTGGGCCGCTGCCGAGGTTCCTGGCAGCTTGTACAAGTGCGATTCAGCATTGACAGGTGTTTTCAAGCAGACATTGTTAATATGTATACATTAAGTACCTTGAAAGGCACATCATGTACTACTCAATGCCCACTTTGGACCACAGTCCGAGGATCAGTCAGTTGATGGGCATTTGTTTCAGCACGGGTCTTATGAGCTGCATCCGGTGACTCCCCGGACGCCTCCCCACCAGCCGCTGGCTCCCCGCGGAACGCCGCGCTCCTCCGCCTTCGCGTTCCGCTGAGGATCACCTGATTGAATCCCTCAATGCGGGGAGTGCCCAGAATCGACGGAGGGAACTGGTAGGTTTGTGTCGGCGCGGACTGAGGTGATCCGTGGACCTTGAACCCAGACATGACCTCCTTGGGTAGTTGATCCTCCAAAACAGGGGTCACTCAGGTTCTAGGGAGGAGTAAAATCTATCTCCAGGGCCCCAAGTACCTCTGTTTTGGGGGTGCCAGAAGGGTCTGTGCCCACCTTTTGAGGATGTGGGACAGGAACCCTACATTATACGATGCCGACCTACCTTTCAGCTGCCCTATGTTGCCAAGTGTTTGAATCCAATTTCGACATACCTTCAACATAACTGGTGACCTTCGGAGAGCAGAAACTGGTTTTTCAGAAACGATGCTCAATGATCTCGAGTGATCGCAGTCTTTTCCTATCAACAGGATGGGGATGGTTATCACATGATATCACTTTGCACTTCTGGTTCCGACTGTCAAGGAGAAGGTGCTTTCCGGGAAGGTTCTGACTTTGTGAAGAAGCTCCATTGACTTTTGGTCTATAGATAGACAACCTACCCCGGAAGAGTGCGGCCCGTCTGAATGTGAAAAGAATCAAACAAATACAGGAGATTCTAAGCCAAAGCTTTCGTTTCAGAGAGTAAATTTGCTGGAACCATCGCACAGTGAGGGGCCAAAGTTTCAGGGTAGTGTTAGATTAAATGTGAGGAGTCACTGGGATAGCTCGCAGATAACCCGATTTACTTATCAATGAGTGTGTGTGTGCCTTATGAACTGTGGACGAACTGGCTGGCATTGGTGGGGGAGCCAAGTTTGTGAGCTTTGGAGCGCTGACATGCTGCCATTCCTGAGCGTGACACAGGTGGAACAAAAGGCGCAGAGCCGGCTGGCGAAAGAGCTGGCGCAGGCCTGCGACATGAGGCCCATCCTGCGACGAGAAAGACGGGGCTTTGGGGCCACTTGCGGAGGAGTTGTCACAGGTTTGGGCGTGCAGGTTTGGGTGGCACGCCAAACATCATAATATATATAGTTATATATATAGTTATATATCGTATCTAGTTTCTGACCTCTTGACAGTAAGAAGTCCCCGTTTTTCTCTCCACGCTTGCCTTTAATATCATTCTGTATCTATATAATGTCATCTATGTTTAATACTGACTTTGGGGGTATGCACGTCCATATGGCTGTGGGTCATGGCGCTCAAACTACCCCGTTTCACCCTGGTAGATTGATCTCCTACAGGTCGTCTACTGGCACGAGCTCGCACGTCACCCGCTGCCTGTTGCGTCGGTCGCTGCGGAGGCAAGAGTTGGAATACCTCTTGAAGAGTCCGGACGCCTCAGCGGCGGAAGACCTGCCAGTGAAGGTTGAGGGGTGCCATGGCCACGGTTAGAGCATGTTAGAGCGTAGTACACATGAACATATGTCACTTGTGACATAAGTATAAGTAGCATAAGGTTACATGATGTTACAAGGGTTTGTGGTTGCTAGGGCGTCTTTTGCGTTTTTTTTTTTCAGAATTGTCACCTTCAACCTTGAGACTTGAGTAGGAGACACTCTTTGACTACCTGGCTACCTCGAATATCCAAAAATGGTCCGGATGGCTGAAAAAGAACAACATTCAATAAACACAAAAATCCAAACGTCAAAAAAAAATACCCCTGCATTGGTTGGGATGTTCCCTGCATTGTTGCATAACACTTTCCATGTTCGGTACATGACTTCCCAGAACGGCGTCCGACAGATAGATGCACGCCGGCGAAAAGAATCACACGTACCAACTCTCCTATCCTTCCCTGGGAGTCCAACGTGATTTATGTTAGACCTATGGTAGTGGATGATGACTTCTAGGTGGGCTGGTTCGTGACATGAGTCAAGTTCCAGACGTTCTGAGCTTCAAGGTGACGACGTAGTCGTGGTGAAAGCTGGCGGTCCTGGTCGATGACTGGTCCTCAGTCAAGCTAGTAGGGTGGTTGGGCGGGTCTGACGACCGGCACGATTGTGACTGATAGAGTTCTTGGCATCCAGTGTAGACTGGAGCGAACTTGTCCTGGTCAAGTCACTACTTTTGATGTATTGGGAACCTTCCAGTCGTATTTTGCGATCAATCCTGAAGAAGGCTAGGAGACTGTCTTGGACTGTATGGATTTGTTTACCTTCTCTGGCCAATATACTGCCCTAAGAATCAAGGACCCTCAAAGTGAAGGTTAGGTTTGGTTCGGGTCCAAACCCCTGCGTTCTGCAGGGTCGAAAACCTCCAGAAGTGGTCGGGTCCAATGACTTTTTGACTTTTTGGACTGGTCATTCTGGACACGTGGCCAAGTTCAGATCCAGTGGCCTCCTTCTTTCAACGCCAGCATCGCCAGACAAGCAAGCGTCCGTCACGAGCGTCCGTCCCTTCGTGGCTCTTCAGCATCAACGAGTAGACATGGAGCACGACTGGCTGAAGCAGATCGTGCTCTTGGAGACATGGGATCTGATGTGTGGACAGACATATGTGAGTGGACACGTGTGGAGATGTGTATTTCTCAAAGGAGAAGGAGCCTTGAAGGACGAAGCAAGGAAGTTTTAAAACTGAAGACTTAGGACTGATGTGTTTGGACTGAAGTGCCCCATCTCTGGAATTCATATCCTTCACCGAAAAATTGGGGCATTGGTTCCGAAAGTGAAGAATGAGTGTGTATTAGGGAGACCTCCCAGTTCTGCCCCCTCAAAAACAACGAACATAGACCAAAACATAGCAGAACCCGTTAATGGACACCCCTTGGCAGCTAAGGGGCTATAAATAGACACCCCGACAGGAGGGTGGTACCAAAAGCCATTGGGACCATCAGGGTCCCCCTGTGGAAAAGACACTTCTTCTTTGTTCGCCCAAGACCGAGGGATCGCAAAGAAAACACCGGAGGATTGTTTGGCCCATTGGAGCTTGCAGAACCGATGTGTCAGGGACAGAATCCACTTGGAAGACAAGGGGAACCATGTGAGCGAGGTAAACCGCTTCACCTGGAAATCGATCCACAGGATCTGAAACATGGGACCAACACTGCTGCAAGACGTGTTTTTTCTTGTAAGAGTCAGTCATATGCCCAGAACCTGACTGATCCCCTGTTATGGAGGCCTATATCATTGTGACAGTGGGTTTGCTTCAGAGATCCACTACCACCTCCTTTTGTAGGAACTGACCGCCACATCCTCAAAGATCTCGGCATGTGCATGCTGGTCAGCGCTGTGCATGCTGGTCAGCGTGAGTTAGCCGATGTGAGGGGTCTCAGAGATGATTCTCTGTGGTGATGCGGTGACGTTGGAACGGGCATGGACAGGCATGGACATGCTGGGGGTGGTTGAAAAGGGGTCTTTCTGGTGCATATGGATTCCAGATGCATGTTCGTGTTTGGGTGAATTGCTCCAGGGGGTCCAATTCCCCGCCCAAAGAATCCTGTTCGCTTCGCACCACGACTTGCTGTTCTTTTTTCTTTGCTATCTTTGCTCAGCAAGCCGGTAGTCTTGTAGCACTTTGTGGATGTTGGAGAGGGTCGACCAGGACGCCAGAAACACATCGCAGGAGGCCTTAAGGGACTCCAAAAGAGCGGAGCTCAGGCCCTCCTCTCAAGCAGGTGGAACCGGTGCATCCAGGTGATCTGTGCTGATGGGCATACAGGTGATGATGCATGCAGCTGTTGTTGTTGTTGTTTTTTTTCTGTTTTTTCATGGTTTCTCAGGTGCCTCTCGGGGTTTGTAGATGTTTTTTTGGTTTTTAAGTCATGACAAGCCAGAGGGTGTCCCTCCAAACACCGGGATCGTCGGGGCCAGGAAGGCCAGGTGTTTAGGAATGACTTCGGAAGGTCTGAGATGGTCTGATTGCCTGTTTGAGAAGGTATTTGCAACCCCATACTAACTGGTTTGTTTGTTTGAGGATGTTCAAGCCTGTACCAGACTAGGTCACTTGGGAGCAATGCTTTTTTGCAGCTCCGGCAATCAATTTGAGGTCTTCATACTACAGACCACCAAGACTTGCAGTTGACTATAGGATCTTCTACTATAGGCGACTTAAACTTGGGATCGGACCTATGTATCCCAAACAGAATGAATTATATATACCTGGAGTCGACCCGTGCGTACCTCGGAATGGGTACAGTCGTACCTTTTTTTGTGTTCGGGTCATGTCCCCATGTTCTAAGGTACTGGGTCAGTCGGGTCCAGGTAGTCATATAATCATAAAACCCTTATCATTTGCAATGGAAAAACACCCAACTCTTCATCCATGGACCTTTGAATCCGGCGGATTTGCACCCACACGTCTGAGGGCGCTTCGCCAGCAGCTGCAGAAGCAGCTCTTTCAGGTGCGATGGACAGCGTGGAGTGGCGGGTGATGGACACCGACTCACCAGGTCCATGGCTTTTTCGCTCCATCCACGACAGGTCCCAGTAAAGGTAAACCAGTCGCACGGACAGCAGCACGGAAGGCATCGGAAAAGCGTGTCCATGAAGAGTTACAATTGGGAGGTGAAGTGCCCATGATACCACCCCTTGAGGGTCCAGGACTTGGCCCAGCCACTTCGCCAGAGCAGGTGGGCGCAGAGAAGCAGCGGGGCAGCCTGTTCGGGCGACTGAAGCGCTCTGCCTCTGCAGAGGAGACGCGTCTCGGTAAAGGAGGCTGCTCTTGTGCAGACGATGGGAGTGGAAGGATGTGTGTTATAGGGCGTTCTTTGACTTTGTCCTACTCTTTTTCCTCAAACAGTTTACTGCTGGGGTTCTATCTTAGAAAAAGAAAGAGCTGGCCACCCTCACTGTCCGCGCCCCTGAACTCTGTGGCTTGTGGCCTGGCTCTGTGGCCCGGCTCTGTGTCCGGGTCTTGTCCTTGTCTTGGCCGCGCCCGTGAACTCTGTGGCCGGGCTCTGTGGCCGGGTCTTGTCCTCCTCTTGTCCTGCTCTTCTCGTGTCTTCTCTTGTGGCTGAACAATTAGCGATGTCGATGCCGACAAAAATCATTGATAAAGCAATTTGCTCTTGGGGGGGAAGGTAGGACGTACCAAGAAATCGTTTTTGGCTAATGTTAGTCCCAACGAATCGTTTTGAAACTGTTTGGGGTCTATGCTGGTATAATTGACATGCTTTGATAGGTGACCTGCATTATACTTCAATATGATCCTATAGCTGGTTTCGTTGGATTCTCAGCCTTCAATGTCAAATTCCTGGTTCATACGCTCGCGCGCGGCCAATCGCTTTCAGAGGTTAACGATCGTGGATCACTTGCTCTATGAAGACCTGGTCTTCCATCACAGGCCGCCGGGAGACACCCGGAGAGACCAGACTGACTGTCGCAGAGCTTTGACTCATCCCATGTCGGTCGCTGATGCCTCTCCGCGTGTTTCGCCTTTTGTGAGCCACGAGGCAAAATACATACGAGTCATTTTTTGTTCTCAAACTGTCGGTGCATTCCTGGACCTTGCATGACAGATTGAATGATGAATATACGGAATCCCTGTAAGGATTCCCGTAATGGACTATATTTAAAAAAAATACATTATTATTTATTTTGTCTTTAATACTGAAATTTTCATCGTAGTATACTGTTGTAAGAGTTCGCCAAGTATCCTGATGGTCTCCTTTAGCATTCCCATGCTTTCCCGGTCGCCTCAATAATTTGTCACCAACCCTGTCAAATTGGTAGATTGTACCAGCACCTTCCAAGGGGTCTCCAATAGACTACCCTAAACTACCAGTGAATCTACAACACCCCGAAATGAAGGTCCAGGTAGAATGCTGTTTCTTTGCACCCATTTGATGTTTCGACACCAGCAGGCACTTCACCCTGCTGCTGAACTCCTTAGGGCGTCGCTCCCTTTGGAGGACGTCCCTGCAGCTCTTGCCAGAGATGTGGCAGAGGGCAGCTTGTGCGCATGTTTTCTCCGTGCGGTGGTTCCCGCTTCCAGTGCAGATGTGACTGTTGGAGAGTCAAGTGTTTGAGGTGCCAGCTGCCCAGTATGCGTGCGGGAATTCACCCACCCAGCCAAAGTCAAACGCCACACTTGGAAAATGAAGCAGAAAGAACGTGACATCACCCTCCATTCGCCTTGACTGTGCGAGAACATGTCCAACAACCCAACCCTGAGGATACAGCTTGATCATGGTTGATCTAGACTTCCAAGACCGATCTTGAATCCTGTTTATGCTTGGGCTAGGTTCTGGCACACGACCTTCTTCTATATTTAATGTAGTACGTCATAATACGACACAAGATGGTTCCAAAGGGCTGCATTTTGGAGGGTATAGGGGTGCCCCTGTCACCTTTGCTCTCTGGATGGGACCCTATCCCGACATGGTTCCGCCACTGGTACTTTGGTCATGGCACAGGCGAGTGTTCCACCAGCCCGAGCGAGACCCATCCGCCCAGCCCGGTGGTCCGGCCCGGTGGTCTGGTCGGACCCGTGGTCGTCCGGTCGCCCGTCGGCGCCGAGGACTTGGTGCCCAACAGCATCAGCTTCAATGCGGCCATGGACGCGTGCCAAAAAGGCGAGGAAGAAAGCCGACCCACCGAGGGAGGCCTTTGGAGAACGTGGAAAACATGGTGACCTCAGAGGTCCCTATAATAATGTATAAGTCCCATCATACATCCCCCATCATGCCTCATATACGGAGGTGTAAGACTGTAGAACTATTCTGGTAGGGGGTGGTGATCAATCAACAGTCTACATCACCATGATCCTGAGAAGGATATGTCCCTGTGCCCGAGGCCTGGGTCGTGACAGGGGGGTGCATGAAGATGGACAACTCGGAAGCCTTCGCTCCGACTGAATCAGACACCTCAGGTCATGCAGATCAGGTCCTTGTCCATTGTTCCCCTTGCTACTTAGTATAGCTTCTTGTTACTGGTAGATCCTGGCCTCCAACTACCGCGATGGCACCGAACCACCGCGTTCCCGCGTCCTTCGTCGTCGCCCGATGCACCCGATGTCCCAACACCCAGCGACGGAGGGCCGGGCGAGCCTCGCTGGACCGGCGCACGGCCGGTTTCGGCGTCGGTGATGTCTCAGGTGCGGCTTGGCAACATGCCACCAGCCTGCTGAAGGACAGGGATGGCCAGTTCAAGCATGCAAAAGAATCATCGAGACGATGCTTGGGGGATGTTGGGTGGTGGGTGGTTATGTACTATATGGAGGCATTTGGAGGGAGCAACTAAAACAGTTTACTGTTGGGGTTCAATCTTAGACAAAAAGAGCTGGCCACACTCACTGGCCGCGCCCCTGAACTCTGTGGCTGGACTCTGTGGCCTGGCTCTGTGGCCCGGCTCTGTGTCCGGGTCTTGTCCTTGTCTTGGCCGCGCCCGGCTGAACTCTGTGGCCTGGCTCTGTGGCCGGGCTCTGTGTCCAGGTCTTGTCCTCCTCTTGTGCTCCTCTTGTCCTTCTCTTGGCCGCGCCCCTGAACTCTCTGGCCGCGCTCTGTGGCCGGGTCTTGTCCTCCTCTTGTACTGCTCTTCTCTTGTCTTCCCTTATGGCCGAACAATTAGCGATGTCGATGCCGACAAAAATCTCTGATCAAGCAATTTGCTCTTGGGGGGGAAGGTAGGGCGTACCAAGAAACCGTTTTTGACTAATATTGGTCCCAACGAATCGTTTTGAAACTGTTTGGGGTCTATGCTGGTGTAACTTTCAGATGTGTTACATGTTTCACTACCTTATGGTTGTTCGACCAAAATTCAGAACTCTTCACTTTGGTCAAGACCTGACTTGCGGTTCCGATGCGGTCTGATGTGTCTCACTTTTGGGGGGACACCTTCGAACAAAGAAATTCCCGCTTTCCATACGATGACAAAGCAAGCTCGTTGGCCCTTCATTCATCAGCCCTGGCTCCGGTGGAGATTGGGCCAACTTGAGCTACGTCAATTCGCTCTCGAATGAGTCCCTGATGGCCATGATGTTTCTGCACTGGTGCAAACACCCGACTACGCGACTGTTTCCGGATGAGATGCTTGGCACAGTCTCAAGACTTCTTGCCCGGCTTTCAAAAGTGTCCGGCGCTACTGTTGCCCGAGCGGTGTCATTTCCGGCATTTCAGAAGACGAGGTTGCTGTAAATGCATACCTATCATGGACAGAAGGTGTCATAGCGAGGCGGTCCAGGGGATGCATTTCGAAGGAAGCCAACAAGATCCGCATTGACCTTCGTTGTCAAGGAAATTTGGACACTCTCACAAAAGGATATCGTGAGGCTTCAAGCATTTTCGTTGAACAGGCCACGTTCCTCGGGCATGGAAAATTCAGGGAGCATAAGGAAAATGTCATTTCCAAAGACAAAGTCACGCAGTTCACGTTTCCGAAACTAATCCTTGATTGGGAAAGTGGATTTGTCAATTACATCTTTGGACAAAACCATTTCCGTTTTGCTGACCATACTGAGCCAATCTCAACTGTAAACTTCATGAAGTCAGTGATTGCCCATACATGTGGTTTTTTCTGTGGATGCACACACTTTCCAACTTGCAACAAGATTTACTTTGTTGAAACTCATTATGGAACATTCGCTTTTTTGAGATTTTCACAAAGGGAAATTGTTGAGTTTAAGAAGTGTTTGCTTGATGGAGGAAATGAAACCGTCATTCGGGGTCTTCTCAAAATTGAGAATCTTGAAACCTATGACCCGGGGCAACCAAGTGCCTACGACTTCTTGACAAACTAGCATTTGCGGAAATGTGCGGTGTTGGAGGCATAAGATCTTCGACATCTTTTTGCAAACAATTCGTAGGTTTTAGATCGAAGCATCTATTTTACGAAAGCCAGCCTTCGTAAAAGGCGCTAGCGGAGTTGTGTCTGGCGAACGAAGTGAGTAGTTAGGGGGTCTGGGGGGGTGGCCCGAGAAAGGTATACGTCAACTCGGCACATGCTGGGGGAGGAGGGTGCTCCGAGGGAAGGTTTTTTGAGGTTGTGTTGGAGGTGATTTTTGAGGGGTGGTGATGCAAGAAATGCCAAATGCATCATTTGCATCATCTGAATGGAAAGGTGTAGTTGGCACCTTGCAAGGTATAGAGACCTAGGGTAGCCATAGTGGAGCTACCAGGTATAGTACTTCAAGTTGCCTTTCCGTCAACCGCTTGAGAACCTCTACACACGCACAGCAATCCACAGCTTTGAAGTCTCATTCGTGCTTTGAACTTGTATAGGTGTGTAAGAGGTATAGCAACATAGTATTTATACGGACCCAGGGTAGCTACAAGTAGCTACAGTTCTGTTCCCGGGCATGGCGCGCATGAGGCTTCAAAGCTGTGGTTTTCAAGCTAAATTCAA